ACACACACACACACACACCCCCACACACACCCCCACACACACACACACACACACAGAGTCCCCCCAAACCATCCCCACAAACTTTCCACCCACATACCCCCCCACACACAAGCCCCATACCCCCTGACAAACCTCACTCTCACAAACCCTACACCCACCTATAAACCCCCCAACTCCTCCCAGAAACACCCCCCACATCCCCACCCCTTCCCTCCCAAACCCGCCATCCCCTCCACAAATCACACCTAGCATACCCAGCCGCCAAATGGGATGGGACAGGACCTGCTGGTTGGAGCTGCAACTGCCACACTGCACCCCTGCCTTGTGCCCACACCGGCACTGGGACATACAGTCCCAGCCTGGGGTGGGGCTTCTGGTCCCAGGAAACACTTGGGGGTGTGATGGGCTGGGGGAAGGGATGGAAGTGGCAGCAGGGATGTGTGTAAGAGAAAAAAGAGAGAGATGGGAGTTGGGAGTGGGGGAGCACTCCGGGTAGGAGAGACCTACAAAGCTGGGCTTAGAACCCCCTGTCCCCCTAAGCTACAGCTCTACACCAATAATCCAAAGGAATTTTGAACCCTGTAATGCCTTCTAATTAAATGAGAGAGAGAGAGTGCAAGCACATACACACAGTAAGAAATTACTAGTGCATAAAAGGGGCATAAAGTAAATGAAGGACAGCCTACTTGTTTAGGGGTTTAGGGTTGGTATATGCCCTGTTTGAACAGATCACTAATGTAAAAATGGGCCACAGAGAGGACTGATTTAATAGCCCCACACCCTGGTCAGGCAGAGTGGGGAAAGTATTAACTGTAATTCACTACCAGCAAAATCTACTCTCATCAACCAACTCATCAGATTGTTGAAGAAAGCTGAAGTTTGCTTTAACCTATGAGAGACAGCTACAGTCCTCCAACCTCCCCTAAGCCAGGTAGGGCATAGCCAGAAGCCCCATGCTGGGTCTTGTGCTTCTGTTAATCCCAAAAGTTAGTTTACATGAGATCCACCATATTCCCACATCTCTACATCAGCTAAAGTTATAACAAAAAATGGTCCCTTGTTCCTGAGGTAATAAAGGTTCCAGAGTGTAGCATGTCCTGTAGCAAAATTTCTTTCTGATCCTCAGAGGGGCATTCAGTTGGGCCCACAGCATACCCTGAAACCAAATTACTGCAACACTGCTATTGGCAACAGAATAGGGGTGTGCATCAGGCAAAGCACCCACATGGTGATGCCATGTGTCAAACCAAGCCAATAATTTAGCTTGAGAAATCTCCCACTGGGCTCTGCCTAACAGTGTCTCCCTCCTGGAAGCAGCAAACATATTTCTGTCAATTAAAATGAAAACATTTAAAATAAACATGCTAACAAGTGTCAAATGCAAACTTATTCAGCTTATGAAGGGTCTCCAATTTTTTAAAACATAAGTTTGAGTCTCAAAGTACACCTAGTGCCAACCACTCGCACAGAATACTCATCTTGCCCCGCTTTGAGCAATTTAGGAATGTAATAAAACAATTTATAGTTAACATATGCACTATGTATTATGGAAAGCCAAGATTTAACATTCTTGTGTTAATTTGGCTGAGGGAAAAGATACAATGAGAGAGAGAACACTACAATTTGCAGTCATTTGCAATGCTGAAAATAGTAATAAACTTCAAAAGTGCCGTTATTATACATGTTATCGCTCCTAGCAAGCCTATGTCTTCAAATATTTATGCCTTTTATACCCAAGTTAATGCCTCTTAATTTTTGTAGGGAGAAAAGTAAATGTTTTCAGCCTTCTTTTCCCATTATATGACCATTAATCTTGTCCACTAGTTCAAGCTCGAGAAGTACAATACAATTTACATAGAGATCACTGGGTAAGTCATAGTCAATTATAAATGTAGGATGTTAAATTACTTAATGCTTGTATTTTTAGGCTTATGACAGGCACCAGCACTAATCACTGTCTTAGACCATTTTATCTTTGTACTGAGAATACCTCTGTATACAGAGTTTTATGGGGCATATCTATCATTGAACTCACTGCTTTGCTTATAAAATGAATGCAAAGTTACTCAAAGGACACCAAAACTACTATTTTAAATTAAAATTCATGTAAGAATATTCATTTGCTTCTTAGTGACAGCTTCTGTCACTGAAGTCTATATGTAATTGGTTCTCCCCCCCCACACACACACACACTTGAATATGTTCGCTGTCCTAATGATAAATCTACAGTCTATCTTCTGCCTAAGAAAAATTACATAGACTTTTCAGTATGCTAGCACTGCAGGTCACATCTATCATCCTCAGGCCTCTGTTTTACTTTTAATTACAACACTTCACTCAAGAATGTTACTTTAAGTCATAAACCTAAGGAGAAAGTAGGTTTTAATTTGCAGAACAGCAGTTAAATCCTCTGCTTCAATGACATTAATTTGCTGGTGTACTTCTTACTAAGCAAAAGAAAAAAAAGCATTAACTTGCTTTCATGATTTAAGTCCCTGAAAACCTAAGTTTTGCTCAGATTGCAATACTTCCCCTTGGTCACCACATACTTTCTATGGCAGGGCTGTCCAACTTCTAAGCAGCTGGGGACTACAGGTCCTGTTGGCCACACCAGCAGGGGTCACCCATCACCCAGGCTGTGCCATCATAATCCAATGGTCCCCTGAGCAGCATGCTGCATGGGTGCCCCCCACACTTTACTGCACGTACATGGGCACCCTGGGCTGCACTGAACAGCATGGCATGACACTACACCACACTCCCTCCCTCAGGCAGGAAGTGGAAGCTGGCAGAAGCCTAGAAACCCCAAGTGCTACTTACTGCAGCTGGAGCAATGGGGGTGGGGGGGAGCAGCAGCTGGATGGGAGTCGGGGGGGAGGGGCTACAAATTAACCCCTTACAGGCTGCATGCAGCCTATGAGCCACCCATTAGACAGCCCTGTTCTACAGTACCTCATATTAATCCAACTGTCCATAAAAGAATCATTTTCATATGGTATTCTGACAGGATATTGCCTCAAGAATTGCCTTTGACAGACATTTAAATGAAACATTTCATTTTTCACTTTTATTGATTTCACAGCTAAGCAGATCCAATTTTTTGTGAAACCAAATAAATGAATCTGCCGATTCCAGTCAATATGATTGCTAAGTAAGTACTGAAGAATAGATGTAGGAAGCATGTACTTTGCAATCCTAAAAATACGTTTACTTTTTTGTTGAGTGTAAAACTCACCAATATTTCTAGTCAAAGTTACCCCACCTTGTGAAAATACATTTTCCACTGAGATTTCACAGTGATCACAGAGTCAGCCATTTATAGATCAATATCTGTCACAATAGGGTTTCTTTTTTATGGAGAAATGACAGAGCAATCATTCCTGATCTTACAGGTTGTTTTTTTATTTCCTCTAAAAAAATATAAAAGACATGCTGCCAAATAGATTAAAGCTTTGTGTTTGCAATATAGTATTTCTTCAAAATTCAGCAACACAGAATGTTCTCATCCATACATTTCAGGAGAAAAAACATAGTCAAATTTAAAAGAACCCCACTGAAGTTTTGGAAACCTTGAAACAGAAGGGCAAAGTACTAGTATGTTAAGACAAAAAACTGATTCATCTCCTGTAACTTGTTTATTATAGTAGTGCTAGAGCCCCCAGGTTCCCCTGTGTAGTGCAAGCAGTGATGCTGAGACAGTCCTCAACCCAAAATGCTGTTTTCATCTGAGATAAGACTACAAAAATCAGTTGAAATTATTGAAATGAAATCCCTTCAAGGGATGTGAAAGACTACAAGGGCCTTTGCCCTTATACTTGTAGTTCCATATGCCTTTCCTTGAGGGGAAAAATTGTCTCTCTCCTGTAATCAAAACGTTCTGTATTTCTGACAGAGAACTATTATGTCAACATACCAAATAAAGTGCACATGAAGTGGTGCAGAGATGAATATTTAAAGATACACATATGAATTACATTTTCAAAGACACTCAGATGATTTAATTGAAAGTCAAAAGGGTTTGGGTGCTTCTGAAAACATCATCCATAAATTTAGTTTTTCTTCAAATGGGAAGTGATGAAGTACATTGTTGCCTACAAAAGGCCATGTCTCTGAACGAGCTGTTTTCTTGCCCCACCCACACCTCTTTAGTGGTTTCACAGCAACTAATGAATTAAATCTACATGAAGTACAGCTGTTTCGCATTTTCCATACCATTTCACATTTTCTAAGTATAGGTCAGGCTGATGTTATTATTTGACAGAATAGGTAAGTGAGGGGATACTGGCTTCGTAAGTTTAGAAGTCTTGCACTTTCACTTACCCTTTTTCTCGACTCTTAGGCAAAAAAAAAGCACAAGAATAACACAAAGTTGACAATGTCTCATTTCCATAAGCAGTGTTACCCAGATGTTATTTAATTTACAAGAGAAATTTGAATCTTGAGTGCAATTAGGAGGGCAAATCTTTGATGCCTTCTTTTCTGCTACAAAGATTTCCCTTGGTTATACTGGATACACAGAACAGAATTTACAAAGCTCTCAGCATTGACCTAATTCTGTTCCCATTACACTCAACCAAAGTTTTAACACTAACTTCAATAAGAACAGTATTAGGAAAGCTGAGCATTTTGAAAATCCCTTGCACAGAACAGAAGCTTTTGCTATCACATATGCTTTTTACCTCTCAAAAAATTAGACTAGCAAGGTAGATTGTTGATGTAACTTGGCAGTAAAGTGGTATAGTACATTTGGAACAATAATGACTTGTTTTCTAAGTGAAGTGCATTTACAGGAATAAGGTACAGTACAAAGCCTATTAACCCCAGCAGACAAGCATGTATAATATCAGTAAGGATTTCTATTTACATGCTGAATATGGCAGTCTGCTCTATTTACAAGAAGTCTACACACTGAATAGGTGTTTTCTTATAATAGCAACAGTGAAAAGCCAATTTCTTTCTATGTAAATCAAAAGTTGTCCATCTAAAAGGATGCTTGTATTGCTTGCCTTTGTACTGAGAGCTTCTTGCATGAGAAACCACCTGAAATGCTAAAAAACTAGTAATATTTTACAACATTTAAGGTATCTGTCACAGAGTGCAAGCATCACCCAGAATCCAATTTGAAGCTGTAAATATATATCATTAGAAAAAGCACAAATCTGTTTAAATGCTCATATTCCTGCCCATGTAGTTCTGTAGTCATGCTGTTTACAATTTGTCTGTGGAAAAACTGTAGACCCAGACACCTTAAATGATTTTTTAATGTTAAGTCTTGGTTTATTTAAGAATATTCTAATACAAGAGAAAAAGGAAGTGCAAAGCCATATAAAGTCTATCATGTTAAAAGAAAGCCCACCATTGGGATTTGTGCACTGTTAAGTCATTTTAAACCATGGCACCATAAAGGTTCTATAGGCCTAGCATTTACTGCATATATTTATTATCTAGAAAAAGTGAATGATTCAGTTATTTATCAAAGTCTAAACGATTCCAAGCAAAATTTAGAAAAAAAATCTAATCTCGTGTTCATCTAAATTTAATGCTGAGTTATGAAAAATTATAAAAACTGAAGGGAAAGAAAAGAAAGATTTACACCTACACCTTGCTGGATTCTAAATTAAAAGTATCAACCCAAGAAAGACACAGGCACTTGTGTGAAACAACCTAGGTTGCATACAGTTGTTCACCATACCAGGTCTGCATTCACACACTTAGTTTAAGCTGCATGAACATAGACTGGGAGCAGCGTGTGCAGCCATTCCTCAGAGCTGCACAGGGAAACCAGTATAAGTAATTTGGGGTGGAGGGAGGGGCAGGTGGGATGAGAGGGTGGGGATGTAGCAGGGGGATGGGAATAACATAGCCCTGGAACTGGGGTGAGCAGCTGGGCTTCTCAGCCTGGGGCTGCTGTGCAAATGCGTGCAGGCATCTGTGACAGTGGGTTAACCCAATCTTGATCTAAATTAGTGCACCTCCTCAGGTGATCTAATTTAGATTAAGTACACTATTTTCAGTGATTTTAGCACTCTGACCACAGGTACAATTGGGCATATAGATAGACCTAAATCCTGGTTAATGTAACATGTATCTGTATATAAACCTTCACAGATGCTACTGTTGACATTGCAACAGTGGTTTAAGTAAATAAATAAATAAAAACCCTAGCAAACAAAACATTATGGAATGTACTATAGTGTTATCACTTAAGCCAGGGCTGTCCACCTGGCAACCTGTGAGGGACTAATATCCAGTCTATGAATTACTTTCTGACTGCTACTCCACCCCCTCCTCTTGCAGCAGTGGCAGCTGGGGTTTCTGGGATCCCCCTCCCTCCTCAGCTTCTGGTTTCTGCCCCTGCTACTGGGGGTGGGGTAGTGCAGTGGGAAAAGGCCAGGCTGCCCAGCTGTACAGGAGATAGGCTTCCTGTGCTGCAAGTTGGCTGCCTACATGATATGTACATCCTGGGGGGAGGGGGAAGGTCATAAGTGGTGAAAGGCCACAGCTAACAGGGCTCAGCCCCCCCCCAAATGCAGGTCAGTGGGTAGGACCACAAGGCAGCTCAGCCACAGGCTCCAGGTAGCTGCAGCAGGGGTGGGGAGGGATGCGCATGTAGCCAGGATCACAGTCCAATGTGTGGATCACTGGCTGCCCAGCATGGCAGGCAAATACCAGTCGATTACTGTTCCTTAAGGAGACGATCCTCCAAGCCCAAAGGGTGACAATCCCCACACAGATCAACGGGGGCAAGAGTGCTTAAAACCCCCACGGCTCACCAAAAGCATCCAGGAATGTCTCAAAGCAAAAAAGGAGGCGTACACCTGATGGAAGGGAGGAGCCATGACCAAGGAAGATTATACCTCCATTGCTCGAGATTGTAGAGGGGCTGTTAGGAAGGCTAAGGCTGAGATGAAACTGGGACTAACGACCCAGATCAAAGATAACAAGAAGTCCTTTTTTAAATACACAGGATATTTAAAAGAAGGCACCGAGTAACATGGGGCCTCTACAGGAGACACTTGGAAATATGGTGGTCGCACCAGATGACAAAGCTAACCTCTTTAACAGATTCTT